TTTTGCTGATTTAGCTGATTTGTAGGTAGAAGAAACAAACTCCAACTTTTTTGGAGAGTTGTCTTAATTTTTTACATGTGTTAGCATGATGAGTATTCCATTTGGCAGCCTAACATTGTTTTGCTTGTGTTATTCTATATAGATAGATAATCGTGGTGTCTGGGCCAGCTTGTGCGTATCTCAATTAATTTCACGAGGTATTTGCTATCTCTCGTAAGTAACACGATAATTCTGTCTACAAAAATTTGGACAGGATTTCTTCCTATGACTTCCTCACCAACGTATTCAGAGACAAACGGAACAATTTTCAAGCGCCAACATATTACTTGATCCATCCGTCAATAGAATATCTAATTTTGTATGATTGTCTCGTCATTAAGCCACTAATACGGATAAGGCTGGCATGTGGGCCGGTTAGGCCCGGACCCAGGCCCGCGAGCCCATATCGGTAGTGGGCTTAAACGGGCCTAACCATTTAAACCCGGGACCAGGTGTGGTGGGCTCCTAAGTGGGCCGGTTCACTGAAAAAGCCCGTGATGACCGGGATCGTTTGGGCCCGGGACCGGGTGCTAAGTGGGCCGGTTCAACCGGTCCTAAATGGGCCCAACGACTATTTTAAAAAAAAAATTATTCCAAATTTGTTTTTAGCCGTTACTAAAGTTTAAAAAATGGCCGTTGGCCTGCAAAAATAGTCGTGTGCTATTTCTAAAATAGCCATTTAACCTCCCAAGCTTTTTATAAGTGCACTTTTTCCCTATTTTCAACTATAAATAACCCCTCATTCTTTCATTTTTCTCACAAAATCATCAATCTCTCTCATTTCTCAAACTCAAATTGAAGTTGTCAAGTCTTCAAGTCTTCATTCATCTCTCATTTCTCAAACTCAAATTCTTAATTCAAGTTAAATCATGCCCGATGATTCTAGAGTACGCGCATTTGTTTGGGAACACTTTAATGTGGTAGAAGAAAATGAAGAAGTTTACATAATAAAGTGCAAGAACTATGGTCGAGTCTTCACTCATCGTCCAAAGTTGGAGGGCATGCCTGTTTAAAGAGGCATATAAAGAGTTGTCTTGCGCGTTCTTTAGACATTCATATTTAAGATTTTAAGTTGATTTGAGACAATTTGTGTTATTTTAAAATTATTAGACGTATTACGCTTAATGTTTTAGTTTGTTAGATTTATTTGAAGTATTATGTTGAGGCATTGAACTTTAATTTGAAGTATTAAATGTAAACTTTAATTTGCAAGTTTGATACTGAGTTCATCTTAATAAGCTATATAATTTACAAGAAATTGCCTTAGATAAAAAATTTAAAAAAAATAGGCCAGGCCCACTTACGCCCACATAGGCCGGGACCGTTTAAGCCCGGCCCGCGAAGCCCGGGCCCACATATGACCGACCCACTTAAGACCGGGCCCGGCCCATTTGCCAACCTTAAATTCGGAGTTGAATTACTAAAAATCTTTTCATACCTTACTCAATTCTGAACTCTACTTTAACGCTCTTTAAATGAAAGAGATTAACTAATCTCGTACGCAGTGACGGATCCATAATTTAGGCACAACGGGTTTTAAGTTAGGTGAGTGAATTCTAAAAGGAAATTTTACCTCCTATGGCAAAGGTATACGCCCTATTTATTATAAATCAAAATTATTTTAAAATATTATTTTCTATAGTCACCTTTTATATTTTATAACAAAGTAAGTATTTATGGTATATACTATCATTGAGGCATGAAATACGCTATTTATGTTTTTCCTCTCTCTTAGACAGCTGGACATACCTATTTTTAAGGTGATTGCCATTACTGTATTCATGAATACATGGCGCGAATACTTGTGAATACATGCGCGTACAATTGACTGCCCTGATTTTAGGTGCTTTTTACTGCTGTATTCATGAATACATGGCACGAATACATGTGAATACATGCGCGTACAACTGGACTGCCCTGATTTTAGGTGCTTTTTATTGTTGTATTCATGAATACAGCAACACGAATACATGTGAATACATGCGCGTACAACTGGACTGCCCTAATTTTAGGCGCTTTTTACTGATGTATTCATAAATACAGCAGCGTGAATACATGTGAATATATGCGCGTACAAGTGGCTACCCTAATTTAGGCGTGACGCGAATACATGTGAATGCATGCGCATACAGTTGGACTACCCTGATTTTTAGGCGCTTTTTGCTGCTGTATTCATGAATACAGCAGCGCGAATACAGCGAACACACTACCGTAACAACTGAATAGTAGCTATAGGAAGTAATTATGTATATGGTAGCAATAGGAAGTTAATAACTATTAAACAATAGTGGTTTCTGAAAACTTCTCATATATATATATATATATATATATATCAAGTCGAAGATAATGAATGCCAATCCATTGTATTAGTGTCTAATTAAGTAGCTAGATTAGCCCATGCGTGTGATCGGTTCGGTTAATGATGTCTGCATTACATACAAATGATATCATTATAGTAATCTTTAGTTATACTTTTTCAGTTTTTTTTTTAATCTTGTTCCGTCACCCAAATTGTAGCTATAAGAAATCCAATAAATAGGGAGATTACGATTTACACTCAGTGCTCATATAGTGCTCACCCGAAGTGCAGAGGCTGTAGCGACTGGGTTTTCTGGGGTTCCAAAAAAAAGATTTACACTCAGTAATTTGTTAGCTAATCAATTGCTTTAAGAATTAAGATGGTGCTTAAGCCATATTGGTGGGGCTTTTGTTGCATTAAAGGGGATTATATTAATTAATGACCATAAAAACATAACGTAGATGAATTGCTCTTATTAAATTACTATAGATTGTTGGTCCTAATTTTCCCTTTAAGATTAAGGAAAATTATATCTTATGAGTTACATTTTTGCACTAGTTTTCACCTTATTTGAAACCAAAAAAATAAATAAATCAAGTTCTACTTTCTAAGAAATAATACGCACTCAATAACGAAACAAAGCCAAGTGATCAAGATAAAACTAATGGTCATCAGCAGGTCCAAGTAGTACCAGAGAGTACAAATATCACAGCACAGGGTACAAATGTTATAGCAGAAAGTACAAATGTTACAGCCTCGGCCACCTCTTTAGAACTAGAGAACTCATCAATATCTTCACCTAATCTGAAATTTTCAACTTAATGATCTTTTTACATGCATGTTTAATTGTTTACTAAGGTATCCTGTCTAGAGTACGTACTAAGGAGTTAGATTTTTTATTTTTATTTTATTTTTTATCTTGTACAATATTTATAGAATATATTCGTGGAAGGGTAGGTCATGGTTTGAACTGTAAAAATAGCCACTAATACTTTTATTAAGGTAAACTGACTATATCACACCCCTTGGACTGTAACTCTTTTCAGGACCTTGGGTGAACGCTGGATGCTTTGCGCACCAAACTTCTCTTTTATATTCGCTGAAGGGTCCATTGATGAAGTCTTGGACCAACCAATACCCAAAAAATGAAAATGAAATTGTATATAGCTAACATATAGTAGCAATAGGTAGTTAGAATTCACTATTTACTTTTTTTAAGTAAGTACTAATAAATTATACAATGATTATATATATATATATATATATATATATATATTTGGATGAGCTTATTTTAAGTGACTTTTAAGCCAAAATAGCTTTTAAGCCATAAGTTAGGAATTTTAACTTTTGGCTTTTGGCTTGTTTTTGTCATTTTAGCTTAAAAACAAGTGCTTAAAAGCACTTTTTTACTTTATCAAAACACTACAAAATAACTTAAAAGCACTTAAAACAAGCCAATCCAAACGGGCTCTATATCTTCCAGCTATTTTAAGTTTAAGCTCCTACGTAGGCGATTATTTAAGTTAATTATACTGACCAAAAACAGTAAACAATAAATTCGATAGGCTATTTGTGTAAAAATTCTAGTAAATGAAGAATTAACAACAACAACAACAATGGGGGATTTGCATCTACACCAGCTTTTTGGGTCACGTTTTAACTTGTGCCCGCTTTGCAAAAAAAAATTACAAGCATACCCACTTTTTCGCGTAACTTCAGCATATGGGGCTGAAGTAGCAAAGGCAATCACGCAAAAATTCAGCATTCTAGTAAACATGCCTGAAGTAGCAAAGGCAATACGCTGAAGTTTTTTTGTCCTAGATAAGATGCTGAAGTTATTTAGTTCATTTATAAAAACTTCAGCACTAAGATAGCTGAAGTTTTTTTGTCCTGGATTCATTAGTTTTGTCATAAAAATTTTTCAAAAACTTCAGCAGAAGATGCTGAAGTTATTTAGTTCATTTGTAAAAACTTCAGCACTAAAATATCTGAAGTTTTTTTTTTGTCCTGGATAAGCTTTTTCAAAAACTTCAGCAGAAGATGCTGAAGTTATTTGGTTCATTTGTAAAAATTTCAGCACTATATAGGCTGAAGTTTTTTTGTCCTGGATTCACTAGTTTTGTCATAAAGTTTTTTCAAAAACTTCAGAAGATGCTGAAGTTATTTAGTTCATTTGTAAAAACTTCATCACTAAAATAGCTGAAGTTTTTGAAAAAGCTTTCTAACATACTAGATAAATAATCACCTTATTCTTTCATAGTGTATTACTATTATAAAATAATCAGATTGCCAACAATATCTAAATCATAAATTTTGGAAATAATAAACGTAAAAAGAACAGAATTACGTAAAAATATTTATAAATTATTGTCTACTAACTTACTTAATTATTTATAATTTGTTTTTAAATAATCTGATAAATATACTTATGGCAATCATCCCATGAACTGAAGAGAAAGAAGAAGGAGAAAAAAATGAAGGAGGAGAAAGGGGGCTAAAGTTGTTTAAAAAGTGGATACAAGTTAAAACTTTAAAAAAAAATGAGTATAGATTAAATGGGAAACAAAATATGGGTGGGGCGCTGACCCGAATGCCAAAGACTTCGGGAGGAGCCCATATATAATGAATCACGTGAGCATCACGTGAGAAGGCAAGAAACGATCTTCTTGCTAACTCGCCCTAAAAAATCGGCTGGGGCGATTACAGCAAATTCATCGCCGTGGTCTTTCATTTCCTCGGATCGCCATCGCCGATTTTTCTTACACCACCGTCAAACACCGTCAACAACCACAATAACCACCAGGTAAATATTCCTCGCCGTCGAATATTCTAGGTCCTTCTATAACTAGATGTTATAATATTAAAATTTAGCTCATTTTTTCGCAGTTGTGTATAAGGCTATGAATTTTTTTAGTTTAATGCTTCAAACTGTTAAAATGAGCTAAACTTAGTATTGTGATTAATTACCTGACTTTTTCCTTGAACTTTCTAGGTGGTTAATGCTTATTATTGCTTATGTTGCATTTTATACGACGGTGTTTGACGGGATACTGAGTTTCACATATTAGTTTGACTTGTATATTATATTAGTTGAAGTTTTAAAATTTAAGTACTTTACTCAAAATTCTGATTTACTACCTGGCTTTTTCATTGAATTTTGTAGGTGGATTATTGCTTTTGTTGCATTTTATATGACGTTGTTTGACTGAATACTGAGTTTAAGATATTAGTTTGACTTGTATGTTATATTAGTGGAAGTTGAAGAGAAGTATTAAAGTTGAAAATATCATGTCAAAGTTTTAAAATTTAAGTACTATAATGAATTTGAAGTCGTGAAAGCTATATACAACATATTATTGAAATGGAGTCAAATATTTTAGACATTCCACAATAGAAAGCGCAAAGGGAGTTTTTTCCCACTTGGTTATTGCAATGTCATATGCATAGGCGGATCCAAGATTTAAAGTTTATGGGTTCTGAATCTAGCCTTTTTGAGTTACTGGTTTCTATGTTAATAATTTGAATATATGATTTTTTAAAGAAATACAGGCTTGCTCAAAGCTATTGGGCTCTCTCGAACCCAATATCTTCAACTTTACATCCGCCTTGGTCACATGTTCTTGTCAATTCTATACTTTAAGCATAGATCTAAACATTGTGGTAATTTCATTTCTGTTTACCAGATTAGGGATCACATGTCCAATGACAATGTTTTTATCTTGTTCTAGTTTTGATATGAAGTAGATAGCTTTAATTTATAGCTCATTTATATTATTACTACTAGTAAAGGGGAAAAACCTCTCTTGCTTAGTCTATAGTTATGGTTAGAGGAAGAGATGCCTGTTGGGAACACTGTGTCCTTGTTGATGCTACAAGACAGAAGGTAAGATGTAACTACTGCCGGCGAGAGTTCAGTGGAGGGGTTTACAGAATGAAATTTCATTTGGCTCAAATAAAAAACAAAGACATAGTTCCATGTGCTGAAGTCCCGAACGAGGTGAGGGACCACATTAGAAGCATTTTAAGCACTCCTAAGAAACAGAAAAATCCTAAGAAAACAAAGCTGGATCACGCTGTTAATGGTCAGCAAAGTAGCTCTTCAGCTAGTGGTGGGGTCCATCCTCTTGGTGGATTTAGTGGAGAGAACGGTAGCCCTTGTCCTATTATGTTTGCGCGCCATTCTCCGAGTTCACAGCCAGCAATTGATGATGTTCAAAAGCAAAAACAGGACAATGCTGATAAGAAGATTGCTGCGTTTTTCTACCACAATGCAATACCTTTTACAGCTGCAAAGTCCTTGTACTATCAGGAAATGGTGGACGCGATTCTTGAGTGCGAAGTGGGGTATAAAGCTCCATGTGCTGAAAAATTGGGCGGTCATCTTTTGGAAAAAGTCAAAGTCGATATTAGCGACAGTTACACGAGATTAAAGGATGAATGGAAAGAAACGGGCTGTACAATCTTGTGCGATTGCTGGTCCGATGGAAAGGCTAAATCCCTTGTGGTACTTTCTGTGGCATGTGCCAAAGGGACATTGTTCCTTAGGTCTGTAGACGTATCTGATCATGCAGATGATCCTCATTATTTGTTTGGGTTGCTTGAATCAGTTGTTCTGGAAATTGGCATGAAAAATGTTGTCCAAGTTATTACCGATAGTTCTGCTAGTTACGTATATGCGGGAAGGCTTCTGACAGACAAGTACCCTTCGGTTTTCTGGTCTCCGTGCGCTTCACATTGTATCAATAAAATGTTGGAGGATTTTAGCAAACATGAGTGGGTGAATGTTGTTCTTGATGAGGCAAATACAATCACAAAGTACATATACGGTAATGACTGGATTCTAAATATGATGAGAAAATTTTCAGGTGGAGAGGAGTTCGTTCGACCAAGAATCACAAAACATGTGGCTAATTTCCTTTCCTTAAGGGCCCTTGTGATTCAAGAGGATAATTTAAAACACATGTTTTCTCGTGCCGAGTGGTTGTCATCTATATATAGCAGGCACCCCGACGTACAGGCCATAAAGTCATTGTTGTGCCTTGAAAGATTCTGGAGATCTGCACGTGAAGCTGTCACGGTGTCCGAACCGTTACTTAAACTGTTAAGGATCATGGACGGAGACATGCCTGCTATGGCATATATGTATGACGGAGTGGAAAGAGCAAAGATGTCCATCAAAGCATTCTATAAGGATATTGAGGAAAACTATGCGCCGGTTTGGGATATAATTGACAGGAGATGGAGCATGCTTCTTCAATCCCCATTACATGCAGCAGCAGCATTCCTTAATCCTTCCATGTTTTACAACCCAAACTTTAAGATTGATTCAAGGATCAGGAACGGTTTTCAAGAGGCCATGATGAAAATGGCTTCTGAGGATAAAGATAAAATAGAAATTACTAAAGAACATCCCATATACATAAATGCTCAAGGTGCTCTAGGGACTGATTTTGCAATAAAGGGAAGGACACTGAACGCCCCAGGTATATATGGTTAAACTTCAATTGCCAGAAGTTCACTTGCATAATATTAACTTGTTAGGAAGTGGATCTCGGGTTTGATTTATAAGCTGTAATATGTACATAAACATGTAGTTTATACTTTATACTGTAAGTCAAATAATATATTTATAAACTCTAGCATAATGTTTAGGAAAGAAGTTGATAGGCTTATTCTACCAGTAACATATAGGGAACAGCATTTCTAGTTGATTCGATATTTATAGCATTTTAAAGCCTGCTCTATGTGTCTTCAGCTGATTGGTGGATGGGTTATGGTTACGAAATTCCAAGTCTACAGAGAGCTGCTATACGGATTTTGAGTCAACCTTGCAGTCTGCACTGGTGTAGATGGAACTGGAGCACTTTTGATAGTGTTCATAGGAAAAGACGGGACAGGTTGGAGCTTGATAGATTTGACGATCTTGTTTATGTGCACTGCAATCTCTGGTTACAGGCAATTGTAAGAAATAAAGATGGCAAATGTAAACCAATCAATTTTGACGAAATAGATGTTGGCGCTGAATGGCCTACTGAAGCTGAAGTTGCATGCACTTTCTTGGATGATTCCTGGTTGCACACTCCACCCATTGAAGTCAGAGGTATTCCTTCATTTAGTGAATTATCTATAAATGCAGATAATAAGTTTTATTTCTATAATTTTTATTGGCCTATCTGAAAAATAGATACTTCTGGATTATCTATGGTTGCACAATTCATCCCTTATGTGAATACTTCTGGATTCTGAATTGCACTGATTCGAGTATTCATAATTTTATTTCTGATATATGTTTGTGACCAGGCAGTGATTGTTTTTTTTGTTTATAAAGCTGGAATATTTTGGTATCTGGCTTAAATGTCGTTATACAAATTTACAGTGTGAATCATATTTTATAAGCACCCTAACAATACAGAAATATTAATCCCAGTAATACTTTTGTCATGGACCTTATTTTTTTTGAGAATGCTAACAGTAAGGAAGAGCTGGGCACCATATTTACAAAGTAGATTAAGCAAAAGAGAACTTTACTCTTCTTACGAGGTTACTACAAGGCTTCTAGAAAATCTAGTAACGAAACAGTATCTTCTAGATTTTGTCATGGACCTTCTCATCAAATTACTTACATCACAACCACTTGGTGTCAAAGGTTATTCATTTCCATAAAAAGACACCTTACGTATCACGGATTATATAGCTCGCCTTACATGAGGGTTTATCTGATGAGTAGGTGGACGTAGATCCATTGATGATAACCTATGAGAGATGAAGTGCATTGTTGGCCTTGATTTTGGAGCTTCAAGCAAACAAGAGATTGCTAGATTGATGATAAAAACCAAAACCTCTTTTACTCTATCTTCAGGACATGGAAGGCGTTCATCCAGTAAATCACTAAGCTGCACATGATCTCTAGTCGATGAATTTGCTAGCAGAGTAATGCATTCTCCAAGATGCTTTCCTTTGATTATCTCCAATGCTAATACTCCAAAGCTATAGACATCACACATTTGTGTAACCTTCATTGTATATGCAAGCTCTGAAACAATACAATTTCCAAAACAGTATAAGAATTCAAACGTGTAAATGAGATAAAAACAGCACAGAGTGTGCGGCTATACTTCATGAAATTGTTAAAAAAAGGATAAAAAGTTAGACCGTACCAGGTGCAACATAGCCATATGTGCCTGCAAGCGCAGTGCAATTGGATGAGTCTGGCATGAGAAGCTTAGCTATGCCAAAATCTGAAACACGAGCTTCATACTCAGAATCAAGCAAAACATTACTGCTTGATATGTCTCGATGAACAATCGGTGGTGAGCAATCCTGGTGCAGGTAAGATAAAGCAAAAGCAACACCTTTGATGATATTCACCCTTTTAAGCCAATCCAAATTCTTGGACTCAACTTCATTACTCAAAATACTAGACAAACTCCTCCTCTCGGCGTACTCGTAAACCAAGAACGAGTGTTCTGCATTCGAACAATAGCCATAAAGTTTCACAATGTTCCGATGCTTAGTCCCTATCAATGCCCTTACCTCATTCATGAAGCTTTTGCGATGTGTATTCTCAAATGAAGAATGAAGTCTCTTCACAGCTATATTCCCTAATGATGGAAGGTTTACCTTGTAAACGCTTCCATGTCCTCCTTGCCCGATGCAAAATGTTGAATCAAACTCCTCTGTGGCGTTTAAGATATCCTTGTACAGTGCTTTTCCATCTAACATGGTTATGGAAAACAAACCATCATCCCGTCTTTCAACATCTTTAACTTTCCTTCTTTTATTATACATAAGGAGAACACCAATAAAAGCACAGAGAAGTACTAGTCCTCCCATAACAGGAAGTACAGTGACGAGGATGAGTTTACGTCTTGAGTGCTTCTTCACCATAGAAAATGAACTTTCGCAAGGCTGGAATCCTGTTACATTGCCGCAAAGACCTTTATTACCTTCTAATAAGGCAGTCAAAAAAGCTTTATTATTTGGTATTGGACCTTCCAACTCATTGTATGACAAGACAACATCCTGCAAAGCAGTTAAACTTTCAAATTCTTCAGGAATGCAGCCAGAGAGGCCATTGTGAGAAAGATTCAAGTTTGCCAAGTCTAGCAAACTGGCTAACTGAGCGGGTATTTCTCCATCAAGAAGGTTATGGCTCAAATCTAGTACACTAAGATGAGTTATCCTCCCTATCTCTTCTGGAATTTTCTGGCCGAACTTGTTGTTGCTCAGGTTCAAGAGAAACATGTTCGTGTAATCTCCTATAAATGTTGGAATCGACCCGTTCAATCTATTATCTGACAGATCAAGGGACTCTAACTTTGTTAGTGAGTCAAGCTCCGTAGGAATACTACCATGAATGTGGTTGTTTTTCACAAATAATTTAACTAAAGAGGTCAATTTTCCAAATTCCTTAGGAATCTGTCCAACTAATTGATTCGATGAAACATCAAGTCCTAGAAGCCCTTTGAGATTTCCAATCTCTGGTGGTATGCTACCACTAATGTTATTTCTGGCTATCTGCAGATTAGTCAGATTCTTGCATTTCCCCCAGTTGCTGCTGAGTTCTCCATGAAAGTCATTGTCACTCAAATCGATGAATTGAAGCTCTGGATAGATGCCAAAAGCTTCAGATAAATTCCCAGTGAAGCTGTTGTTAGAAAAACGAACCCATCGGAAACTCGAGCACTTGCTCAAGCTTCGTGGTATTGGCCCTGTCAGCTTGTTACTAGTCACCGAGAAGCTCACAAGCTTCCCACCTTGGCAAAGATGCTCTGGCAATTGGCCTGAAAACTGATTTACACCCAATGCCAGCACAACCAAGTTATCTAAATATTCAAGTTCTTTAGGAATGGAACCAGAAAGTTTGTTGTTATAGAGAGAGAGAGCTTGCAAGTTTCTCAAGTTGCCAAATGAAGCAGGAATTGAACCAGTAAGTTGATTACTGGATAAATCCAGACGAGTGAGATTTTTCAGATTTCCCAACTCACTGGGAATGAGACCAGACAATTCATTTGAGTAAGCATAAAACAGTTTTGCATTGATCATGTTACTTATTTCTAGAGGAATATGACCTGTTAACTGGTTTGTATCAAGATCAGCTTCAATAAGATTGACAAGTTTCCCTATTTTGGCAGGAATGGAGCCAGAAAGTTTGTTAACATAAAGGTACAGAGTTTTGAGCTCAGTTAAGTCACCTAGAGTTTTTGGAATTTGACCAGAAAGATTGTTAGCCTGTAAGATTAAATGCTGAAGTGACTTCATCTTTCCTATTTCTGCAGGAATGGAGCCAGAAAGTCTATTAACATGGAGAAACAGAAATTGCAACTTTCTTAAATTGCCAAATGAAGCAGGAATTGGACAGGTAAGTTGATTACGCGATAATTCCAGATCCATGAGGTTTTCCAGATTTCCCAACTCACTAGGAATGGAGCCAGAAAGTTTGTTAACATAAAGGTACAAAAGTTTGAGCTCAATTAAGTCACCTATACTGTTTGGGATTAGACCAGAAAGATTGTTTCTATATAATAATAAATGCTCAAGCGACTTCATTTTTCCTATTTCAGCAGGAATAGGACCAGACAATTCATTAGAGAAAGCATAGAAATTATTTGCATTGACCAAGTTACCTATTTCTGGAGGAATATGATCTGTTAATTGGTTTTTCTGAAGACGAGCTTCAACAAGATTGACAAGTGCGCCAATTTGTGGCGGGATTGTGCCTGAAATCTGATTAGTCGACAAGTCAAGATAGACAAGATTAGTGAGTTTGCCTATTTCAGGTGGGATAGTGCCAGAGAGCTGGTTCATGCTAACATCAACATATTCAAGAAAAGGGAGGGACGAAAATGGAAAATCGTAGAGCGTGCCAATGACACCAGCATTTGTAATATTCAACTTGTTTAGCCTACCGTTAACGCATATAACTCCATACCAGCCCCTGCATGCATCAGAACTTGCCGCTCCCAGGCCGGAAGAATTGTTCGAACCAACATGACTTAGTTTCCATGAAGCCAACAAGGTATTATTCTGGTTTTGGAAAGTGGCTTTCCATTTAAGGAGAGCAGTTGCTTCCTCAGTGGAAGCAAAAGTAAATGTGAAGAGATATAAGAAAGTGAAAAACTGAATTAAAAAAATTGTTCTTGGAATCTTCATTATGGCTAAAGGATTTAAGCTGTTTATTTTGTTTATTGATGAACTTGTGTGCAGAGTAGAGTTCTCAGCTAAAATACAGGTAGAATTAGAAAGACTCGGGAGTCAATGATTTAGTGGGCGTTTGGACATAAGAATTATAAAATTCCGGAAAAAAGTGAAATTATTTTTCAAGTGAAAATGGTATTTAAAAATTAGAGTTGTGTTTGGACATGAATACAATTTTGGGTTATTTTTGAATTTTGTGAGTGATCTAAAGTCAAAATTTTAAAAAATAGCCTTTTGGAGTTTCAAATTTTCGAAAAAATCCCAAAATTTATTTTCAAGTGAAAATATGGCCAAACACTGATTTTGGATAAAAGTGAAAAAAAATTATGGCCAAACACTTATACTTGATTTGGCATATGAATAGTATAGCATACATAATTGATCGAAATTAATTATAGAATAAGAAGCAGCTTTACTCGTGAGTATGGAGGTTTCCTCCAAGTTTATTATTATAATAATTACATGAAAGCCATCATTCATGACTATCGAACCAGTTGTTGTCCGTTGTCCCGCCAGCCACTGAAAGCCAAAAGCTTCAAAACTTTGATTTTGAATTTGATTTTTTTTAAATTATTATTTTTTTGATTGGGTATTGTTGCAAAAGATCGAGAATATTCTTTCGAGTTTATATCTCAATTTTGTGAGGGTGTTTGGTGAAATTAGAGTTGATTTTCGATGAATTTTCAGATTGGAATCGGAAGATGTATTAAAATTGTATTTAAGTTGTGTTCTGTTGTAGTTATATTTTTATTATTTGAATGTTGTATGAAAGTTGAAAAATAGTTGTATCATTATGAAATTTGTATTTAAGTTATTAATACTTTTTTTTTTCATAAAGTTACTGACATATATCAAAATTGTATTACGAGACAAAGTTTTGATTGGAATTTCAGAGAAGAACAAGGACACGTCACATATAAAATATATACAAATCATATACAAAAGACATTTGTATAAAATTTGTATGAAAATTGTATTTAAGTTGTATGATGTTGTTTTTATTTTTAACAGGGTAAAAATGATATATGAAAGTTATAAATAAGATATAAATAAGTTGCATACTATATAATTAGTTGTATAATTTTTAATTTATATGTTGTTGTGGATGTATCAAATTTAAATATTCCGGCATTCAACTTGTATGGTTTAGGTGATGTGTATCGTCAGTGTATCTATTGCTTTGGTTTGATGCTACTTTCTGGTTCAAGCTATTAAAATAGTTTTATAAGATTTGGTTCTCAATTAATTCTTGAACTATTTTACGTTACTATGGTTTGACATTATTGGAATTGCTATATTACAGTTAAGGCACTATTGGAAGGAGGACATGAGAGAAAAAAAAAATGGTGTAATTGAATCCCATAATTTAAGACTCTAATAATGGATTGTATATGGAGAGAGAAGAGAAAAGAAAAAAAAATGAAAAGAGTATAACTGAATCTCCTAATTTAAAGGTCTAATAATAAATTGTAAGCAATCCTTGTTTAGGACGAATAATAAATAAAATTAAAATAATTTTAATAAATAAGTTTCAAATATTATATAGGAACGAAAAAATTTATTTTTATTACGATGGCCCTCTATTTGGGTCATTGTACATTAACTGGAAACGTTTCTGGAATTTAGACACTTGTAGAGTTGTTGTATATAATTAATGGAATATTGAACTATCAGTGCGAAGAGAAGGAAATTATTGAAGTGTTCTATTTTCGCCAATAGAGCTCTCATATGTATGGTGAAGGGGTTCAATTATATCCCACTGCCGAAAAATTATATTATATCTATGCATAAAATTATTTCTTTTAGGTATATATGTAACTTATTCCTCTTTATAAAAAGAAAATTTATAGTGTAGTGTTTTTTAAATCTTTGTTAAAGTTTCTAGCTTGCTCCCACTTCTATCTTCGTTTATTCATTCTTCCTTTATTCACTATTCAAGGGGCAAATGCATAGTCATTCTCAGGGATGCTATTTAGAGATTAATCAGTACTTATTTTGTCTTGAAATTTTAAACTAAGAATCGTAACTTCAGAACAATTAGTAGGATATCTTTGTCCTGAAAATTTGAACTGAAAAACTGAAATTCATGACGGACAGGCTAATTGCTAAATAGCAACCTTTTAAAGTGGCTACCTGATGGCATTTCTACACTATTCACAGGTCCACACTTATCCAAAAATAAAATTGTAACTATAAATTCATGATCAAATCTTACAACTATAAACTCGTGTATTTTGTGACTATATATTAAAGGCAACGTTAACACGGTTAGAATTGACGTATCGACTACTAAATATGGAACCATGAGAAGTTTTATTTTGTGTCTCATACAACTAACACTAGTTGTATGAGGCTTCTTTTTGTCTCACAAAATTGTGGATCCCAATTTTACACTGCTGGATCCACATAATTCTGGGTCCACAAAACTGTGAGACAAAAAGTTGCCTCATACAACTAGCGTAAGTTGTATGAGACACAAAATAAAATTTTCCTGCAACCATATATAAAATGAAAATGAAGTTGTAAACTTAGCTTAAATATTAAGCTATGATGCTTAATTTATACAACAAAAAGACTCCAACTCCTTAGTCAACATAAAATAAATAAAAATATTATAACTTTATTGATTGAGGGATAAATATATAAAGATATCATACTTGAATCTTACATAAACGTGTATATTCAATTATCTCTTTAACCATGATCAAATCTTACAAGTTGTGACAATATATATATATATATATATATATATATATATATATTTTTTTTTTTTTTTTTTA